TCCAACACCTCATTAAGTATATAGTATATCATGACCAAGAGGGCTTTATTCCAGGTCCAAATTGTTTCAATTAATATTACATACCATATTAATAGATCTAAGGAGGAAAAAACTCATAATTATTTCCAAAAAGGCTAAAAAAGCCTTTGACAAATTTCAACACCAATTCTTGACTTAAAAACAAAATCAAGAAAATTGAGGGCTAATTTCTTAACTTGAACATACATATGAAGAATCACTAGAGTCATTTTCACTAAGATTTAGAATAAGGCAAAGTTACCCACTATCTCCACTATTATTCAATTATACTAGACATTTAGTGAATGCTATTAGATAAGAAACATCAATTAGCTACATATGAATTGGTAAAAAAATAAAATAAAATCATTTCTTTGTATATGATATGATAGCATATTTTGAAAATTCAGATAATCAATGCTTAAACTAACAATAAAAAATCAGGAAGGTAGTAGGATACAAAATGAGCAATCATAAATCAATAACATTGATATATAAAACCAATAATCAGAAGACATTATGGTTGAGAAAATACCATTTACAGTAGAAAAAAATAAATACTTAAGATTTAAGAAATATGAAAAATCTATATGAGTAAATCTTTAAATTATTCCCAAAAGATACAAAATAAACATGAAGAATGGGAAAGACAGCCAACATTCCCACAATAGATGACTCAATATTATAAAGATGTTAGTTCTCCCAAAGTTATATTACAAATTTAACACAATCTCAATAAAAATATCAACAAGTCTTTTTTTTTGGAGCTAAACTTGTTGATAATAAAGCTCATGTATATTTTTTAAAAACATGCAAGAATAGTCAGCAAAACTGAAAAGAAAAAACAAAAGAAAATGAAAATGTAAGGTGGAACTAGCCTTACAAGATATTAATACTAAATGTTTTAGTCTTAATATACTGTGGAATCTCTACTACCAATATATTGTGGTGGTAAATAAATAGAAAAACAGACGAGAGAATGGAACAGAATGGTCAGAAATAACCAAAATATATAAGAAAATGTAATAAATTATAAAGTTGACATCTCAAAGAACAGAGGCAAAAATTGACTTTTTAATAAATGATGCTGAGTCAACAGAAAAGCCATTCAGAAAAGATAAAAATTAGATTCATACTTCACACCATACACAGGAATGAACTCCAAATGGATGAGGGAATTAAATATAAAAAATAAAACCATACAAATTACTAGAAGTAAACTCAAAGTGGAATACAACCAGTAACACTTGAACAAAACTGAATTAAAAGTGAATATATAACCACACTGACAGGAATAGAGAAGGAAATAACTAATCTAAGTAACTTTGGGCAACAGTATTTTGATGATATATTATAAAGCTCAAGACAAAAATAAATATACATAAATATTTTATTCTAGTTAATTTGTTTTCATAGATGTGTTAAAATTCTACAACTACTTTATGTATTTACTGCAATTGAACAAATAAGAAAATACATTATGGATAAATGAGAGCCAGGTGTCTTACTGTTGGAAAAAGTAGCTACAAATTAGAAAAAGGGGAAAGTCTAGAATGAACCCCATGGTGTTTGGATTGGAATCAGAGCTATCAGTATGAACACCCGGTTTATAATACATGTACAAAGGGATAGATATAGAAATGCAGATGCCTGGAATATGTGTGTAGAACATATATTTCTACCATTATCCACTGAAAGAGTCAAGTAGTAATGACACTCACTATTAATGAATACACCCAGTGCCCAGATCTTAGTTTCTAAATACCACTCTACAAAAAGAGGAACCAGGGCTCCTCGGAGAAATGGTGAATTCCATTGCTGGATTAAGATGAGCCTGGAATATTTTATGTGCTTAAAAGTAAGGATGTGGTCAGAAAATAATGAGGATGTGAAAAAACACAGAAGCCAAATTATAGGAGTTTCCAGTGGCCAGATTTCTATTTTACGCAACAAAATAAATAATTACAGTAATGAGTTATAAACTATAAAATAAAACGTATCTTTAAGTCTACACTGAGTAAATAAGTAAATGAATACATAATAAATGGAGGAGAAGTCACAGATCTTCCTTATGGTAGAAGTACAATTAATACATGTAGAAGAAATGATGATACTATTGAGTCAACATTTGGCAAACAGCACAGTAATACTGTTGCTGGTAAGGATTATTGATGCAGACTTGATTATGGACAAATGTATGCTGAGAAACATTTGCATAGTTTCTCCCCAGGACAGTAAGTCCTCACAATGTATTTATTAATCAAAAAGGGAAAAATAATAACTTTACAATGGAGAAGCCTGGAAGAAACCACACCTAACCAAGTGATCAAAGTTAACATCATCAGTAATAAGATATATTAACATCACATACCTCCTGATAGAATACACTGACAGGGCAAAATATCACTTCTGTGGTATTCTTGGCAAAAATGCATAAACTCAGCCTAACAATGAAAATATCAGACAAATTGAGGGGTATTCTACTAGCCAGGACTCTTTGAAATTATCAAGTTCATGAAACAAACAGAAAAACTGAGAAATTATACCAGATTGGAGGAGAATAAGGAGACATGAGAACAAAATGCAATGTATGACCTTCGTTGGGTTATGAACCAGAAAAAAAGGACACTAATGAGGCACCTGCCATAATCTGAATAAAGTTCACAGATTAGTTAATAGCATTGTATCAATATTAATGTCTTGATTGAGATAAGTGTTCTATGGTTATGTGAAATGTTAACATTAAGCTTAAAGGGTCTATGGGAATTCCACATATGGATACTATTTTATTAAGTCTAAGTTTTATTTTGAAATTAAACAATTAAAACAATCTAGGAAAACAGCAAATTTAATGCAAGGAAAATAGATTAACATAACAAACCAAGATTGTAAAACAATGAAATTTAAGATAATTTTTCGATGGAGAAAATTGACAAAGCCAAAATTTGATTTTGTGACAATATTAATAAAATTGAAAAAGTCTTTTGAGATTGATTCATAAATGAAAGAACAGATTACTAATATCAGGAATGGCAAAGGGGAAGAAACCCTCAGATCCTAAAATCATTAAAAATATCACAAAAGATACTGTGCAACAATTTAACACTAGTAAATTTGAAAATTTAAATTTCTTAAAAAGTTCAACTTATAGAAACTGAATATTAAAGTAATTAAACTGTTGAAATTCTTCTCAAAAAGCAAACTCTAGGCCAACATCACTTTAGCAAATAATTCTTCCAAATATTTAAGGAAGAAATAGCATCCATTTTAGATAAACTCTTCCAGAGATGAAAAGAGATGGAAAGCATAATTCATTTGTCAATGCTAGCATGATCTTGATTCCAAAACTGAAAAAGACATTACAGAAAGTAAAATAACTGGCTAATGTCCTTCATGAACATAGATGTAAAATTTCAAAACAAAATATTATCAAATTGAGTCGAGTGGTATTTTTTAAAGGTTACCATATCACAACCAAGTGGCATTTATTACAGAAATGCAAATTTGGTTTAAGTTTATAAAATCAGTCAAAATTACTAATAGAACAAATGGTAAGTAGAATAAAGGGTAAAATACGATCAATATGGTTGTTTCAATAGATGCACAGAAATTATTTGAAACACTGGGGAGGAAAAAGGAACCCTAGCAAAATAAGAAGAGAAAGGAAATAAAGAGTGTCTTAAAAAAAGAAGCCTACGGCAAATATCATAACTAATAGCGAAATATGGATTGCTGTATCTGATGTCAGGAACAAGCCAAGACTATTGAAGCTTGTACTCTAGTCCTAGCCAGCGCAACATGGCATAAAAAAGTATATAATTTTGGAAATGAAGTACAATATTCATTATTTGCAAAATATGCTATTTGAAAGTAGTCATTATTTGTAATAGTCATTACTCTCTATCTTTGTAGAAAATCTAGAAGAATATAACAATAAATAATTGAAATTGGTAAACAAATTTAGCAAAGCTCCCGAGGACAGAGTAAATATGCAAAATATTTGTTTTATGTCTATATACTGCTAATACAAAATTAGAAAATAAATTTTTAAAAAATCTATTTATACTTGAATCAAAAACTCCAGATACATAGAATTAAATCTAGTAAAATATACACAACACTTCTTCACAGGAAACATTAATTAAAAAATAAATATACAGAGCCAGCCCTGATGGCCTAGTGGTTAAAGTTCAGCGTACTCTGCTTAGGCAGCCTGGGTTGAGTTCCGGTCACGGAACCACACCACTCGTCTGTCAGTAGCCATGCTGTGGCGGTGGCCCACGTAGAGCTAGAAAGACTTATAACTAGAATATACAATTATATACTGGGGCTTTGGGGAGATAAATAAATAAATAGAGGATTATACCTTGCTCATGAATTTGGTGTTATAAAAATTCAGTATCACAAAAGTTTCAGTTTCCCTATATTGACCATAGATTTAATGCAATTACAATAAAAATCTTTGCTGATTTATATTCTTTCGTTTTAAAAGAGTCATGGGCGGGACTCAGAATTTAAATTGCTATAAAATTTATACGTAAATACAAAGGACTGAGAATAACAGTCTCGACAAAGAAGAACAAGTAGGATTACCACCACTAAACATACTATCAATACTTATAATTGTACATTAACTAAAATAGTGTGGCATTGGCACAAAATTAGAACTCCTACTTATCTTTCAAATATTTTCTTTTATAAAATATCTCTCAGCTTTTCAGGCAGTTTTATCAAAACTTTGCTGTTGTATCCTTCGTTGTAGAAATTGTAAAATAATTACATCAAAAATGTTTATATGTCTTTCTTTGCACATCAGACTGTGACTTTCTCAAAGACAGCGCCATTCCAAGCAATAATTGTCAAACCCAGGAGTTTCTGACATACATCAGACACTCAAGGAACATGAGATATATGATTAAAATAACATCAGTAGACATGGTTTTCATAGTCACCAAAATCTCAGAATGATAATTCAAACTTACCTCCTATATCTGGGCGAAGTTTATTGTCATAGCCTCGAAGCAATGAGTTGAGAATTTGTGTTATATCTCCTTCATGAATCTTTGGTGCCAAGACCCAAGTTTTGTTCACTGTTAAATCCTCATCATCTTCATCATCTGCTTTATCAATGCTAAATAATTAAAAAAAAAAGTGGATGATAGAAAGTTCAACCAAATTTTGTATTTAAAAAAATAGTTTAAGATTATTATAATTAGTATAATATTTTTAGGGAGTAGTAGGAGTGAAAATAAAAACCATTAGAAACATCTTACATTAAGACTAATGCCTTCATATTAACTGTCCTTATATAATAATACTCAAAAATTAAGAATTCAGTATAAGAAATATAACACAATATTAAAATAATAAAATAAATCTTGGCTACTCCCACAAGTGTCATTAAAGGCCCTAGAGATTACACACTGAAAATGTGTATGGTGCCCTAGATTTGTGCAGTACACAATCTGCACAAAGATGAGTGAAGAAAGGTTTGACGAAAAAGGAAAAATTATTGAACACATCTATGCTTCTTCCTTTTAGGTCAGAAGAACCTATTCATCTTATTCCAAGAACTTTGTCAAAGATTGTCTTACCGTCAAAGCATGAATGAGTGACTCACTCTCCACATACACTTTTTTTGGAGGGGTGAATGACTATCAGATTTCAGGACTAGAAGTGAGTCTTTAGAGATCAAATAACCTACTGCTTTTACTTTGTAAATGAGAAAACTAAAGACAGTAGAGAACCAACCAAAGCACAAACTTTTTTATTAGCAAAACTGAGAATCAAATCCTGACTCCCCAGGTAATGCTCCTTGCTACACCTGTGTCTTTAACAGGCATAAAGATTTAACTTACTTCTGAATTGTGGTAAAAAATGCAGTAATATAGACATTCATCTACAATTCATCAACAGTAACAAATTACTCTTCCTTCATTACCCATAAGTAACTCCATCTTCATTTGAGTAAGGTCATCCTAGACTTAACACACCCTACTTTAGTAATCTTAGTCTTCCAGTGAAAAAGGTTCAAAAGACCCTTTTTTACCACTTACATTGGTAAAATCAGGTGAATCTATAATATATTAGTTATTTACACATATTTCAGAGACAGGCTTCCCTCCAGCAGTAAATATGCAAGTTTATATCTTTAGTAGATCTTTCTTCACTATCCATGCAGATCTCTTTTGCTTTGGACCTAAACAGTTTAGCTAACGCAGCTCCCATCCTCTTTATCTTTCTTTAAAAATTTTTATTCCAGTTTTCTTGAGGTGTAATTGACATAGAACATTGTATAAATTTAAGATGTACAACATAATTTGATATATGTATATATAGTGAAATAATTACCAATGTTTAGTTAACATCTACCCTCTTTATCAGTAATGAGTATAAATTAACATTGCAAATTAAAACTTAACCTTTAAAGTATTCATTACCTCATTTCATCTTCATAATAATTCTATTGATAGTTGTTATCAACAGATAATGGGATGCATTATTATTCTTAATATTTCTCCTTTCCTTTCTGTTAAGAGAATTGTACTTTTCACTCTACTGACTTCTAATTTGGTCACGTGACCTGAAATGCTCTTTCCTGTAAAAGGATTATAAATCCTTGTCCTATTGAATTCAAGTGTGGTCCTGTGATTTGCTCTTGCTAATGGAATATATGTGACATGTGTCACTACTGAGCAGAAGATTTAATGTCAGTGCACACAGTTCACCATCTCTCTCTTGTCCTTCTGCCAGAACCAGCCATACTCAGACAGAGACTACTCAATGACTTCACTCTCAAAGTGAAGGCAGCGTGGACAGAGCACAGTTGACCTACAATGTACATGTAGCCTGAGCGAGAAATAAACATTTAGTGTTGAAAGTCACTGAGATTTTGGGGGTAGTTTATTACCATAGTACACACCTTTTATCCCTATGAGAACTACTGGGGTATATTTAGTTAGATTTTTAATGAAGTGCTTATTTATATTAACTGTTTTGCTGTATTTAACTTCAAAAAGTATATACCACTGGTATAGCCATATGACTTCCTTTAAATAATTTCCTATTATTTTCTCTCAATAAAATATATGCATATATAACATTCACTCAGAAACTAAAACATTGAAAATATTGAAGTATTAAGAATCTCTGCTGATGTGTTCTCCAGGAAAGTTTTCTTATGTAATTAGAACAGCCTAGATATGTCAACAACCCAAATTTTAGGGCATCCATTTAGCTTTAAATCCCAGTTTTATAGAATGAAACATCTAGTGGATAGAGGCAGGCCATTGCACATATAAGCAGTTTATCTTTCTTTAAAATGTGACTAGTCAAATGGAAGTTCCCAGAAAAAATAAAAGTTTTTTTTCTAATTTTTGCTGTAGCAACATCCTGGTAATCCAAGAAACACGCTCATAGTGATTTATAGTCCCCTTTTCCCAGCTAGCTCAGAGGTAATATGAAAATCGGCCTCAATGATATTACAAAGCTATCTTTCCTCATTTTTGGCAATAACAGAAAGGAAACTTCATTATAGTTAATTTCTCTACATCTTCCTTCCAAGCTGTCTAAATTACTTTCAGAATATTCATTAATTACAGTGAATATCATATTGGTATTATTTGGGTGATTAAAAGTAATTGTCATCATTTTAAAAATAGGTCATATAACATAACTGATGTTTCAATATCTTTTGTAGGCTGGGAAGTTTTTGTAACATTTATATATGTTGAGTGACTATTCATTTGGGGAAAACAAGTATGATTTTTTTACATAATACTCTGAGAATTTCTAGACTCATGCTCAAGTACTTTTTTTAAATAATTTGAATAAGCATGAATTTATCATTAGTGGAAATATATTTAGATTCCTGAATATATAATTTTACTAATTGTTTACTTTAACAATTGATGTTTTTATTGTTATTATCAGCCAGTGAGCACCTAAAATGCACCATCAAGTGCCTACCATGTTGCAGGAACTGTGTGCTAGGTTCCTTCCACATATTATGTCATTTAATTCAGAATAACCCCATGAAATTAATATTAATATTCTTATTTTATAGGTGAAAAAATTGGTTCATAGAATTTCCAGGACACACAATATTAAATAATAGAGCCAGGATTTAAAATAGATCAATTTAGTTTGAAGACTCATTTTCTCTCAAAGGATCCTTTGAAGTTTCCTTTATCTTTATTAAACAACTCAGGGTGGATTCTGAGTTTTCTAATTCATAAGAACACAGTGACACTTACGGTAAGTAATTTGAAGTGCATTTGGATTGTGCATGGGTAGGATGCTTAGTCTCTGCCTTTAGGTCTGAGAAGTTAGAATAATAATCTCAAGGAATCACACACACTCTCACTGATGAAAAAGACTTTCTAACGTGTGTTCAATCTCCAATCCAATGCTTTAATTCATTTCTAGAGGCAATATCATGTACTATAAATGTGCTAAGTGCTGAAAATATAAAGACAAATAAAATTATATTCCTGATCTAGATGATCTTATTTTCTAATAAAGGAGGAAACTAATCAAGCAAATGATACAGAAAACCATCATATACAAAGATACTTATCACAGTATTACCCATGGTAGTCAAGTTTTAAACAAGAGTATGTTTAAGTAAATTATGATATATCCATATGATGTAATGGATGCATCCATTCAAATGATGGTTGTGAAGTTTGTAAATATATGAAATTATTTTCTTAATTTAATGTTATATAAAAAATAATATATAACAATTTGCTTTTATCAAAACTGATGTATAAAATGGCTTCAGATTTAACAGGAAAGCAGTATAATGAATACACTAAGCATGGTGAGTGGAGCTACAGAAATTTAACTTTTTCTGTATATTAATAGTATACTACAATATTTCTGTATAATTTTGTAATACAAATACATCAAAAGGAGTTAATTTGATATTAATGCCTACCTAAAAATGAACTGCATTTTCCTATACACGAGACATACTCTGAAATAAATTTCTAATCATAAAAAATAAATAATTAAATAGAGCCCTTTATAGAGAGCAGCAGAGCTTTATATTCTGCCAAGAAAACGACAGTGGCCGCCCTGAAAATTTGCCACTCAGTTCTCCTGCTGTAGGAACATAGTTGAGTGACAGTTCAGCTGCCAGCCCTCCAGACCAGCACTGCATCTGCGCTAGACCCATAGCAAGTCAATCAATTAAATATAAACTATTTTTCATACATAGGGCAAACACTCATTGAAGTTTGCTCAGGATGGCCTGGTTTACACCTGTATTCCTGGAATAATTATTAACAGCACCCTCTTTCACTTGCAAGATGACCTAATTTGAATGATAAATTATATAGTCATCCTTTATATAGTTCATATAAAGGTGACTGCAAATATCCTGATTCTGACACCTGGTGAAAACTCTTTCATTAATCTGTTAAGAAAGAGCAGATAGAACTCCAAAGCCAGGTCTCATCTGTGATCTATTGCTCATGACAAATTAAATAATGTTTATTTATAAACATTAGATATGTTTCTATAAACATTGTAGTCAAGTGACAAGTTTCAGGAAAGAAACATATTTGTTCTAATGTTTTTGAGTAGAAGATATCACAATGTCAAAGCCTACAAGAGCTAGCTTTTAAAAATTAGGTATAAGCACTGATTTTAGATCTGGAAGTTGAAGGAAATAAAAGTAAATAAGAAATGTAAACAAAAACAAATTTTTTTACTTTCTTTTTGCCTTTATGTTCGAGCTGCTAAATTCTTTTGTACAAAAATTCCTTTCTAGGGCTGTAGTTCTGAAACATTTTTATTGCTCATAAAAGTTGGTAGGGAAGCAACATAAGTAAAAGAGTGAAAGATATTTTTTGAGAAATCTCCATACTGTTTTCCACAGTAGCTGCACCAGTTTGCATTTCCACCAGCAGTGTATGACGGTTGCCTTTTCTCCACATCCTCTCCAACGTTTATTATTTTTGTCTTGGTAATTATAGCCATTCTGACAGGTGTGAGGTGATATTTCATTGTTGTTTTGATTTGCATTTCCCTAATAATTAGTGATGTTGAACATCTTTTCATGTGCCTATTTGTATCTGCATATCTTCTTTGGAAAGATGTCTGTTCATATCTTCTACCCGTTTT